AGATAGATAGATAGATAGATAGATAGATAGATAGATAGATAGATAGATAGTACAGTTCATGTCCAATAATCTTTAATCAGGGTTTCTTCAGTTTAAGTTAAATTTAAGACTTGTTAATGCCAAGTGAAATCAAATTTAAGGCCAGTTTCACAATAAACACAAATAAATAAATAAATAAATAAATAAAACTGTGGCAGAAACTCATGAATCCAAGTACTTTGGTTGAATTATTCAAATATTGCTAAAAGACCAATTGTTTTTATATCAAACTATTTTATCAAATATAGCTAAACAAACATTCTTAGTAGTGAGTTTTAAGCATAATTTAATTCTTGGAAATCCTCTAACGACCCAAAATTTAGAGTTTTAGGACCCCCAGTGGGGTCTCAACCCCAGCTTGTTGTAGATGAAACATGTTTGTCCATTTTCCACACTTCCTGTGTGTGAAAGTCAGCAGAGCTGCAACAGAACCTCTTTTCTCCTGCGAGTCACAACAACAAACGTCTTTGGACCAGTTGGAGCTGGAATGAAGCAGCAAAGTCAACCCAGGATTGTAGAACCCAGGATTGTTGTCTGAGTCAGCTGTAAATATCCTGCTGCTCTAACAGACGCTTGGACTCCTTCCTGATGGCAGCAGATGTCGGGCCATGAAGACTGAAGACAGCCGTCAGCGCTCACTAACAGACCCCACATGTTCCTTTAAACAGTCGGACCACCTCCTGTAATCAGCAGAGGGTCTGTTTGACCAGGATTAATTGGAGACCTGTGGTTTCACTGAACTTCTGCTTTTAGCTTCTCATCTAATCGTGAAGAGAAGAAAGACGTTTTCAGGATCTGTTTCCTTCAGTGATTTTAGATCCACCTGCTGTCTCACCTGGACGTCATGAACCAAACACACATGCAGGTGTGTCAGGGACAACATGTGAACTCCACCCAGAGAGCAGGTCCAGGTCCAGAGGCCGCAGCTCCAACCACTGCACCACCGTGCTACCTGAGCTATCGTTAACGCCTTCGATGGTTTGCTACAGTGTTAATAAAGTTTATACAAAAAGTGAGGTTCACTACCTGACAACCTCCATCCTACCTTCTGTGGAGGTCATTTTGTTTTTTATTATTCAAACAAACAAAAAAAAAAAAGGCAGTTTTAATAC